GTTCAAGGCACGGCGATGGGAAGGGCCTCGCTTTCATATCGCAAGGAAGAGGAAGGCAACAGGGAGACATAGAAGACTTTAGAGCAAGGGCGTGTGTGATAAATGTGAAACAGCGTTGGAGAAGATTGCAGTTCAAAACCCCACAGACTGTGAAAGACACTGTTTGTTCTTCCAACCGCTTGCCTCTGCCTGAAAACTTGGCAGATCCATTTTTCATAGGCAAGTCTTAAACAACAGGGGATTACTCAATGATTCATTTAAAAGGATCATTAAAGGAAAATCAAGGCACATCGCATCCTGCCTTCTTTAATTGCTCCTTTATTATTACTGTGGGTGAGATAACAGCTTTGTGTTACTCTCCTAAATAGTGTAAAATATTTATTGGTAAATATAGCAGTGCATGAATTAATGCCAGTTGAGATTTTGTGGGGCATTTTTTCCCCCTCCACTGATAGCCATAATTTTTACTTAAAGAAAAACAATGTCATGCTGATTCATCCTGGCTCAGAGCTGAGAGCCTTAGGATGTCAACATCTATATAATGATACTGTTTCTTAGTTTCTGTGGGATAGGAGGATTCTCATAGTGGGCTGGGCTGTGGTTTCTTGGTAAAGTCAATTGCTTCTATTGATTAAGTCCTTATTATTTGAGAAGAAGACACATGGATATATACATTTCCCCCCCACTCTGTTTCCCTAGAATTCAGTAACAAACCACGTGAATAAAAGTAGCTTTGATGAAGGAGGATATTTGGGGCTAGCAGGTGGCATAGTGGTTAAGGCACTGGACTCCCATGTGGCCAACTGTGACTCGAGTCTGTACCTGACACTTGAAGCTCACGTGGACACATGTGCATGCATGCCTAAAATCCGAAGAGGAGACTGGAGGAGAGTGGATTGTGGCATGGCCATCCCCCATGGCGGTGACTTCTCACTTTCCCTGTCACTGCTTCTCTGGGGAACACATGTGCCCTATAGCAAAAATCTCTCAAAAAATAATAAATGAGGGTATATATTAGTGCATGCATGTGAAAGTGCACAACTAGGTGGTTCTGTAGAGTTGACTTGGTGGCTTAACAGAGCTCCTGGGACCCAGGTTATGTCCTCATTCAACAGTGTCCAAAAACAGACTGAGTTTTTGCTTTTACTTATTATTTTTTTTTTTAAATCTTTGAGAAAAATCTCCTCTAGACTCTCTGGCAGACTTCCACTTAGATTTTATTTTCCTGATCTGGGTTCATGCTCACTTCTAAATCCATCACAGAAAGAGAGTTGTTTAGAAGACACAGACTCATTGTCCATGCCTGGGAAGCTGCAAGGAACCCACAACCTCCATCAAAACCCAGCTGCCCCATGGGGTGCTCTTGGAGGCAGCCATAGAGGAAAGGCTGATGTATGTGGTGCCTACAGTGTCAGCCATGGTCAGAGCCATGAAGGGACAATGATTTCACATGCACTATATGCCCAGTTCTACCTCCTTGCTGGCAGGTCCCACAGAAGTGTCTAAGACAATGCTCGTGCTCAGTGTTACCTACATTTATTGCATTGTAATAAAGCAGGTGGTTCATTTTTCTTTCTTTCTTTAGAGGCTTTTGTCTCAGGGCCTGTGTGCTCACTGGAGAGAGAGACAGAGTCAGTGAAAGGGAAAGTGAGAAATCACCCCCACCCCCTCCCCGAGAGGGGAAGGCCATGCAGCTGTCCCTTCTCCACTCTCTTCCCGGGATCTTGGGCATGTATACACACTGAGCCCAGTGTGATTGTTTTTTTTTTTTTTTTTTTTAAGAAATTTTTGCTATAGGTCGACATGTACATTCATCAGACAGATGGTGAGAGACAGAGAGACAGAAAGCAAGAAATCACTTTCCAGGGGGATGACCATGCCATAATCCCTTTTCTTCCATTTTCTTCTTGGGATTTTGGGCACACATGTACACTTACCCAGCATGAGTTTTAAGTTGCCGGATCCAGGACCTGAACCATGGTGGACTATGTGGGAGTCCAGTGACAAAATTATTATGCCATCTCCTGGTCCTGAACCCAGAGTGATTTTTAAACCACAGGGCCTGGAACTCTAACTGTGATTCGAGTCCATGGACATAACCACTATGCTACCCCAAGACAAGTCATTCTTTAGCCTGAGAAATTAATTTGATGAAATAAATGGGTTGTCTGTTACACGGTACAAAATGGACTTTGAAAGATAAGTCTTAGTTATTGCCCTCTAGGAATTCACAGTTCCCTGCTCCATCTGCTTAATTCCAGCTGGTCATGCAGGCTACAGATTCATCCCCTGGCATCAGTAAGCTTTGTTGTGTGTCCCTTTGAGCCCACAGGACTGCAGCATAGTTTTTTTTCAGTAGCATGGCACCTTTCCTCCATGTTCTATTCTACTTGGCTTCTCAGAGTCATCACTCACAGACCTGGCTAGTTAAATGCTCCATCCTTGAATTCTCCCAGCAGTGATGTTTCCCATGGCCATGGCCCTTAGCATCTCAAGGCCTGTCTGATATTTCTTTGCCTCACTTAGGCCTGGAATCTGCAGAGAGAGATCATGTTTGGGATCAATTTGTTCCTCACTACTCAGTTGGGTGACTGGAGTGTAGCTGGTTTTCAAAGAGTGTTTGTGGGATGAATGTATGAATAAATGAATGAAAGGAAAGGAAATCTGGTGTTTTATTCTCTTTCCATGGGTTTCTCCCTTCTTAGTTTTTTCTTTCCTTCTTTTCTCATCTTTCTGTTTCCTTTTATTTTTCTTTTCCTTGCTCAATCTTTGTAATTAGGTAATTAATCCAACAGTAAAAATTGTGCAAAATTTGGACAGCATTGCAGAAGGCTGGCTGGTTTTTATTTTTTTAATTTGCCAGAGGACATGTGCACTTGCCAGAGAGAGAGAGAGTGAGAAAGCATCCCTGTCATGGGGAATAGTTATGCTGTAATCCCTTCCCTTCCATTTATCTTTCCTTCCAGGATTTTGGGCATGGATGCACACATGCCTGGCATGTTTTTCAAGCCACTGGGTTCAGGACTCAAACAGCATAGTTGGCCATGTGGAATCTAGCCCCTTTAATCATCACTGCACTGATATCCCTGCAAAAGTCTTTTATTTCCCTCCTTCACCGGATGGAATATGCAGGGTTAAGGTTGATCCAGGAAATTGTTCCAGGTACTTTTCTGTACCATGAGTAGTCTTTGGGCTCACTTTAACAAGGCTGGAGTCCTGCATACTTCTCATAATGAGGGTCCATTGCTAGGCTGCTCTTTGGTTTCTGTTTTCCGCTTTTGACAGTGTAAGGAGGGAGAGGCACCAGCGCTGTGTGCGTATATGTGGCATTTCCTGAAGGGTAGTGAACTGGGGAATTCAGAGGAAGGTTCCTTCTGTAAACAGTCAGTGTGCTCCAGTGAATATTCAGTGACTGTGAGGAGAGGCATGATGAAAGTATAAGCTGAGATTGTCCTGGTTAGGCCATAGCTCCCCAAGGAGATCTCAGAGTAAACCTAAGTACTTTTCTTGGATAAATAGCGATATCAAGTGCTTGAGGAGTCCCCAAACATCTCATCTCACTCAGAATAAGAGTTAGAGTTAGGAGACCAGCAGGTGGCATAGTGGTTAAGGTACTAGACTCCCACATGGCCAACTGTGATAAAGGTCCTAGACCCAACAGCTCGAAAATCACACTGGGAATATGTGGGTAAGTACCCAAAATCTCCAGAGGAAAATACAGGAGAAGGGATTTGTGATATGGCCATCCCCCCTAGAGGGTGATTTCTTACTTGCCCTCTCTCTGTGTCTGTCTGTCTGTCTCTTTCTCTGGTAAGTGCACATGTCCTAAGGCACAAACCTGAAAAGAGTTAGTTACATTTTGATTTTTTGTTCATCATGAGTTTTTTGCATTAATTTTAATTTGCAAAAGTATAACATTAAAATATTATTTATCTTGATTGCTATAGTTTTGGAATGCCCCTTTGAATTTTGTGCAGAGGCACATGGTCCTGGCTTGGGTTTTGAAGTATGACTTCCCAGAGGATCTTAATCCCTGGAATGAAGAAAGTATAAGCACCATTCTGCCGTGGTGGTAGTGGTGGTGGGTGTTGGTGTTGGACTTCATGGTTCCCTTAGAGTCTTTTTTGGTTTCATTCCATCCAAAAAATATTGCACACCTTTTTTGTAACACCCCTTGTGGCAAGTGCTGCAAGTAAATTTACACCAAACTGAGTTTCTTCTTTAAATATTTGAATATCTAGCAGAGGTGGAATGGGAAGCAAGATGGTACCTTGAGGCCAGTACCATGTGTGAGTACATGGACAGAGCTGAGCGCAGAGTGATGTGAAGATAGAGGGAACCCAGACCCTGTTTGTGGGTGGGGTGGGATCTCAGGAGCCAAAATGCACTTGAAGGATGAATTGCCATTGGTTAGGCTGAGAGAGAAGCAAATGGACTGCAGAAAGGGGAACTAGAATGATCTGAGCTATGGAGGAAAGAAATGCCTTAGTTTGAACAGGAAAATGCAAGTGGCTCCATGTTGCTGAAATGTGTTTTTGGGCAAAGGTGTTGAAATGAATAATGAAGCTGGAGACAAAAGGAGGACAAAGTCAGAAAGAGCTTCAGAAGTGAGCTGTGACTTAGTCCCATATGTAGTGTGGTGTGACTGAGGTCTTCAAACCAGATGAAGAGCATGAGTTTCACTAATGGGAAGATTAAGGCTTTAGCTTAAATAATACACCAAAACAAACAAACAAACAAATAAAATAACCCAGAACCAAAACCCAAAATCTTAGTGCAAAGACCACTAGCCTAGCTTTTGGGAATCTGGGTTGGCTTGTCCTCCTAGCTTTGCCATACAGCTTACCAGAAGAAACCTGCAGGTCCCCCCATTCCTGAACTCAGGGTTTTCTTTTGTACCACAGGTAGAGTATCAAGAACTTTAAGAATTTCTCAGATCATTCATAATGTGATTTGATCCTACCGTAGATTACTCTTGAGAAAAGTTAAAATTCATCCTTATGGGTCAGGGAATTCTGTCAGAATAGTTGAATGGATTTGTTTCTTCTCTCTGCCCTGCATTGAAACATTAATCTATTCCTACTGAAATAACAAATCTGTGCCACTTTGGCCTACAAACCCCTCTTGCCCTTGCTTGTTTTCCATGTAAATTACCAGTGTTTATCCTTTTGTCTCTCTTGATGATATTACTAGAAGGCAGGTCCTCAAAGAAGTGTCTTGAGGGCTTGCAGGTGGCTTCATGGTTAAAGCACTGGATTCCACATGGCCATCTCCTTGGTTTCAGTCCTGAACCTGGTGGCTTGAGAATTACACCAGGCACATGTACACATGTGCCCCAAATCTTGAGAGAATGGAACAGGAGGGATTGCAGTGTGGTCATGCCCCCTGGGGGAATGATTTCTCACTTTCCTCTCTCTCTGTCTCTGTCAGTCTCTCTCTGGTAAGCACATGTACCCTATAGCAAAAATCTAAAGGAAAAAAAAAGGAATCTTGAAAACTAAATATGCAAACACAGTCCCTGAAACTCTTATCAAGTGAGCCCCATCATCCATCCTTTTGCTGTAATAAGTCTTTCTCAATGGAATACTGTGTGATCCCTGGCCACACCACACACTTTCTCCTGCCTGCCTTCTTCAAGATGGCCACTTGTGTTGTCATTACAGAACTCATCTGACAAGGAGTCTATCCTGACCATCCTCCAGGTCCTCGGAGATCTGCTCTCTGTTGGTGAGTAGACTACGCCCTCATCCCCTTACCTGGTTGGAGGTGGGAATGTGCTGGCTTTGATCTATCTCAGGAACCTGAGTGGCCTGGAGATTTATTCTAGCTCCATTTCCTGTGAGAAACAGAATCATCAGCCCATCTGTATTTTTTCTTTGAGGTTGACATGACCTGGAATAAACTGGGTTCATTGTGTTTGTGCTCTTCAGTCCTTGTCACATACCCGTTAGTGATCTAAGCTTAGGAGGACATTAGATTCTGGGTGGTTATTCTCTGGTTTTTCATTTATGAGACTGAGGACCTCCTGGGGCCTGTGCTTACTTCTGAGCTGTTCTTAGAAAGAGCTATTTTCCAGTGGTCCTACCCACCTCTTCCCTCTGCTCCCTTCCATTACAGCCCATTTAGAGCCAGATATTGGCAACTCTTTGACATAAGTCTACTGGAGACAGAAATATGAGGCAGGAGTTGGACTTGGAAGTGTGGTATCAGATTTTCAGAGATGAAATGACAGAGTTGACTACACTGGAATCAACCGAGTTAACTGAAGCATGTCTCTATTAGCTTGTTCCTGCTG